CTTTTTTATACTTATTTCTTTATTATTTATTAATCATTATTCGCGTATGCACGCGCGCGCGCGCGCGCGAATCATGAATTTTTCTCGCTATATTATTAACTTACAAAGTATTGTAAAATTTAGATTAGAAATAGAGCTCCGACTCGTCGAGTCATTCAAACATGTTTGATCGTTGATTTTATCGAAAGGACAATAATCTCATCGTTTCAAGTGAACCAGAAAGCTCGCATACGTCAGAACACGTTGATATTCAATATTTCTATTGTTCATTCGAAATACTGACAGTTTTTCGATATTTATTTTAAAAGTTTTTTTGTTATATGCTTTAATGCATACAGATAATTTTCATAGCATAACTTAAAAATAGTTTTAATGCTGAAATGTATATGTCAGGAGAGAAAACATTAAATATATGCTAATTTAATTAGATAACAATTATTGAAAGAACACAAATATGTATGCAGAAAATAGAAATATTTTTTATAATATTATGTATTTTTTTATGATTTTTCTCTCCTGACATATACATTTCAGCATTAAAACTATTTTTAAGTTATGCTATGAAAATTATCTGTATGCATTAAAGCATATAACAAAAAAACTTTTAAAATAAATATCGAAAAACTGTCAGTATTTCGAATGAACAATAGAAATATTGAATATCAACGTGTTCTGACGTATGCGAGCTTTCTGGTTCACTTGAAACGATGAGATTATTGTCCTTTCGATAAAATCAACGATCAAACATGTTTGAATGACTCGACGAGTCGGAGCTCTATTTCTAATCTAAATTTTACAATACTTTGTAAGTTAATAATATAGCGAGAAAAATTCATGATTCGCGCGCGCGCGCGCGCGTGCATACGCGAATAATGATTAATAAATAATAAAGAAATAAGTATAAAAAAGGGAATAAAAGACAGTGGCGGTAGTTGCGCGCCAAAATCAGAGATTCCGTATTTTGTCAGATAACTATAATTATTATATTGCCAGTGTAACATAAGACTTTGATATGTATTGTTAGTATGCGTCGTGGATATTACAGAAGAATGAAGATAAATATAAAACGTACATCGTACACGCACACACATACAATATACGAGCATACGCGTATGTATACGTGTGTTTGTGTAAAAGAAGGATAACTTAAGATATACAATATATAAGCATAATTTCAAAAATAACTTTTAATATAGATTTACTTGTGTAAAATATAAGGAGAACTAATTGTGCTCAATAAATTTCAATAAATAACGATTTTGCCTATGCCAATAATTATATTATTACTGCAGTTTTATTTTTTTACAGAATACACATTATAAAGAAATATATAGATATATTTCCGCGTCTGATGAAAATATCTGCGATATTGAAAGAGCGCTGTATTTTTTAATTTGTGAATAAGATATGGATCGTTTTTTTCATTACATACATTACACATTCCTAAATAATAATACATATATACACACATATATATGTATATATCGATTTGAAACACATACATTTGTACTCTGCTTTCAAACATTGCCAATTAGATGCTTGCAATTTATTCAATATTATATCATAAATTTGTATTGCTTTCTACAACGACTTATCTAAACTGTACTTTTTTTATCACTTTAATTATATATATAGACGCATATATTTGCGAACAGATTCGAATTTATCGCGATTTTTCCATTACTTTAGCTATGTTCCATTTGGCGATTGCTCATAGAATCATTCCATCCCTGTTGTTCACCAAAACACATAATAAACATTATTAACATATTAAACATATCAAACCTTGAACTCTGCCCTCGAACAGCATTGCTAATTATAATATAAGCAATGCAATCGTAAATCCGATGCCTCCTTTGACGATATATCCAAGCTGCAATTTATCACTTGAAAAATTAAACGTATAGATACGCGCGCGCTTACGAATATATCTCGATTCCCTCACCACTTATGGCCCTCGCACACTGGACGCGATGAATGATGAGCGATGGGCGATATCCAATGAGAGCACTGCTTTTTCGAAAAAGCAGTGCTCTCATTGGATATCGCCTATCGCTATCGCTACAGTCTAGCATTGTGCGATAGCCTTCTCTCACCCGTTTAGAACCTAACCTAACCTAACCTAAGATAAATGTTGATGTTGACAATGTCGCGTGATTTTTATAGGTTAAAACATTAGTCAAGAAATCTTTTTTTCAAGGAATTAAATACATGCGTAAGGGTGGTGATTATCACGGTGATTATCAACTGTAAAAAGAATATTTTAAATAGAATGAATGTAACGCGCAGATTAATACAAGTGTGCAAAAGTTTTGTACATACTGAGACGAAATGTCAAGACAGACCAAAATGGATAAAGCCAATTGGATACCAGACCGCAGTGTCTGTATATAATCCGATAACGAGATGCAAAGTTCCACTGATATTAAAAACGGAAAATGTTTTGAAATGGTATATGTGCGGGCCTACGGTCTACGATTCAGCGCATATCGGACATGCAACGTAAGAATGTCACTTAAAAAGTTTTATCGCGTGTTTATTATTATTATTGTTATAATTAAACTGTTACTTTGAAATCACAATTTGACATTAGTGTTTAATTTGACAAGATTATATTTTACACAACTGTTACATTTTATAATAAAGCATGCTTTACAATTATCAAAATTGATATAAACGCTTTATAATTCTTTCCAATGTATAAATTATAGTATTATAATGTATATTATAATGTACAACTTTAGGCTCTTTTCTGTTACCATTATAAAATTTATTATTTAATTTGCTTGTAATGTAATGGAGATTGCATTCTGTGCAAAGACATTAGCTATTTTGCTGATATATATAGTTTGAGTTATTTATTAGAAATAACTAATTTTTATTACTTTACAGTACTTACATAAGATCAGATATTATTCGTCGAATTCTGTCGAATTATTTTAACATTGATGTATTATTGGTTATGGGTATAACTGACATTGACGACAAAATAATCAAATGTTCTATTGAAAGTGGTAAAGATTTCAAAACTTTATCGAAACATTTTGAGACTGAGTTTTATGCAGATATGAATAAGTTAAATATTGGTGAACCATATTTATACTGTAGAGTTACGGACTATATACCACAAATTATATACTTTATTAAAGAGTTGCTAGCCAGAAACTATGGTTATGTTACAAAAGATGGTAAGATATTTGTTAAGAAATATTTTAATTTTTTTTGGTGATATGAAAAACTGCCTTTAATTCATCAATTTTTATATAAATTCTTACAAAAAAAATTATGCATGTTACAGGATCTGTTTACTTTGATACAAGCAAGTACAACAAATATGGTAAATTAGCAATCCCTGTTCTTGATGCTGTAAAAAGTCAGCATCTGGATAAAAAATCAGTATTAGACTTTGCTTTGTGGAAAGCAGCAAAAGATAATGAACCATCTTGGAAATGCCCATGGGGTCATGGTAGACCAGGATGGCATATAGAGTGCAGTGCAATTGCAAGGTAATTTTAAAAGTTTGTTCTATATATTCATATTATGGAAATTATTTTTTATGAGAGAAGAAGTTTATTAAAATATATATTTCTCTATGTGATAATACTTACCTATATAGAAGTATGTGTCTTCATCAGCGCAGTCTTTGGAAATTCTATAGATATGCATAGTGGTGGAATAGATCTGGCTTTTCCTCATCATGAAAATGAAGAAGCACAATCTTGCTGTTATCACAATGTCGACCAATGGGTTAATTACTGGCTTCACTGTGGCCATTTGAATCTGACAGGGGATGTGAAAATGTCCAAAAGTCTCAATAATACTATAAGCATACAGAATTATCTCGAAAAATATTCGGCGAATCATCTTAGAATGCTTTGCCTACTTTCCCATTATCGAAACGGTATGCATTAATGTTAGCATCAATTTCCAAATAATTTAATTTGTGTGCAATCAATCAAATTTTATTGCAGGCATTGAATTCTCTGACGAAATTATGCAAAATGCGGTGTCGATAACCAAAAAGTTTGATAACTTCACAAGTGACTGTGATAATTATGTTGCTGGCAAATTTAAAACTGGTGAAATTGATGAAAATCTTTTGTTTACAGTAAAGAATCAATTTTTTATTTCATTAAAGATTGATTAATTAATATTTTTAATACTATATTTCTTGTGCATTATACAAAAACATGTAAAAAAAAGAGAGAGCGCAATTTTAAACATATTTGATTACCTTTTTGAATTACTGATAAATAATGATATAATCTTATATGTGACATAGTTAAGATACAAATGTTATAATTTGAATACTTTTTAGACTTTACATGAAACAAGAAATAAAGTTTATTCCGCATTAGCAGATGATTTTGACACTTCAAAGGCCATATATGCCATCATAAATCTTGTTGGGATAGGAAATAAAATGCTGCACCAAAATAATGTAAGTCATTTGCATAAAAAATACATTATTATAATAATTAAGTGTGATATCTATATCTATCTATGTGTGTATCAACGCAAAATTTTTTATTGCATTATATTATATTTTAATACTTTAATTATTTAGTAATTAATTATTCAAATAATAAATTTAAATTTTATTTAGATAACACCTCACAGTAAGGGAGTAAGCGCTGTTGCTGCTGTTTCAAATTACGTTTCAAATACTCTTTCAAAACTTGGCATTTTACAATCTACAATGTTAGTGCCAGAAAATAGACAAGTTAAAGATATTATTGATAATTTTCTGAACTTCAGGATGGCTGTCAGAACTAGAGCACTTGAGCAAAATCCAAAAGACACAATTTTATTAAAAGAATGCGATACTGTGCGAATGAATTTGTCTACTTGTGGAATTATAATAAAGGTAAAAAAGTTTTATAATATTAAAAAGTGTTACAACAAATACCATATAAAATCTATATCATTAATCAATTATAGGATCAGCAAAATGTCACTAGTTGGAGTTGGAAATAGCATATAAGAATAATTCTATGTAATTAGAAGTTAAATAAAAATTTATTAAAACAATAATTGTTCAATCATCAACTTTTTTAAGTTTTTTTGAAATATCATCATTGTCATCAGCATTTTTTCTCTTTTGGGCACTCTTCTTTTCCAGTAATGTTTTTTTCAAACCTTTCATCTTTCTTGTTTGAATGTTATTAATATTTTGTTCTCCAATATGTATACGACCAAACGTCGTTCCAAATGTATCTGTTGAGATATTTTTCTTTTTCTTTACCTATGATCATAATTATAATATAAGATCTCAATATTTATATTTTGCATGTTACATATAAGTATGTGTAATTTATAAAAGTACCTTGAGTGCTTTAGGCTTCTTGCAAGCATCCTTGAATAAATCTTCAGAGGCAAACTTGTTACGCCTACAGAGTAGATCGGCATGTGGGCCTATTTCTTCCAGTTCTACTCTAGGTGTCCTTGTGTTAGATTTTTTCAAAAGTATCCTAAAGATATATTGTAAAAATTTCTAAAAAGCATTCTTTGATATATTTGTCATTTTATTTCAATTTTATTTTTATATCTTACCTGTAACTACGCAAAAATATTTTATTTTCAACAGCTGTAAAACTTAAGACATGTTCAAGACCTTTCAAACTGATCTTTTTAATTACTTCTCTTTGGAACATATCAACAAGTAGGTTTTTAATTCTTCCATATTCATAATTGCTTTCAAAGAGTTCACCATTAAAGATCAATAATGGTTTTATTCCCTTTGTGATCTTTTCAACTTTAAAGTCTTTTAATCCTTTATAATTATCTATACCAAACTCTATCATATCTAATAATGTATGCTCATACATTCGACCCATGATAAGATTGTGTGGACGTTTCTTATTGTGCGAAGCCATCATGAAGAGAGGTGCTTCGTACTTTGATGCAAATTTCTCGATAGGTACAATATTCTCGAATGGTAGTATATCATTTTTCTTTTGCATCATTTGTGCATTAGGTTTTTTTAAATCATACTGTAAAATATATGAATAATGTATATAAATATGAATAATGTACTGAAAATACTATATAATACAATATATTTAATATAGTACGAAAGTGGATCAAATATAAACAAGACCTGGTCAAAAAATATTTATTCGATTAATACATGTGAAAACTAACACAAAATTATTTTTCTATGTAGTATCCATTAATGTCCACAAATTTTTGCAATCACACTGGCAGTTTTTTTATCCCTATTTCATAAAAAGTAGCAGGACGAGTATGAAGCCAATTGTGTACATCATTCCATACTCGACCGCTTCATTTTGGGAGTGTAATAATACCCAAGATTCATCACATGTGAAAATGCGTCTCCTTCTGCTGCATGGCGATCCAAAAGCCTCTGAGAGATTTCAGTCCTTATGGCCTTCTGATTTGCATTCAAAATTCGAGCAGTCGTGCGGTAATTTTTCAAATGCAGATCAAAAGGCCGTAAAGGCTGAAATCTTACAGAGGCTTTAGGATCGCCATGCAGCAGCAGATGCATTTTTTATATGTGATAAATCTTAGATACATCATTACATTCCAAAACAAAGTGATTGAATATGAAATGGCGTACGCAATTGTCTTCGTACTCGTCCTGCTATTTTTTATGAAGTAGGAATAAAAAAATTGTCAGTGTGATGGTAAAAATGTGTGGACATTAGTGGACACTATGTAGAAAAATAATTATGTAGTGATCAAATAAATATTTTTTGAACAAGTTTCATTTATATATTTGATCCACCCTCGTACATTCAGTTTCAAATTACAGTTTCAAAATTTTATCAATATTTCCAAAAAATTAACTCATAAAAAAAGTTACATAATATATAATCACAATTTAAATTATTTCACTCACCAAATCCTTCATGATATTGACGGCAATCTGTGATGTGTTTTTACTTTTAAAACACAAAGTTTCTTTGGCATCTTCTATCATTTGAGGTGCTTTTTTAGATAAAATCCTCTTGCCCTTAGGTGTAACTGGCTTTCTGTGTCAAAATATTGCTCATAATTATAATGTATATACATAATACTTCTGCATGCTATTAATACATGCAAAATATATACAGATAAAAAATAACTTACACCTTATTTATGACCGACATGGCAAAACGATAGATTCTTCTTCTTCTTTCTTAAATGGCACCTGCCCTCGGTCGAGGGTCAATTTGGATTGCCTTCTTAATAAAGAGCCACCGAGAACCGAGAAAGAATGCAGCTATCACAGCCAACCAGGCTTTTGTCTCACAATATCACGTATGCTCCGGCAATATGCTACCATGCAATATGTAAATGTTACTTGTTTCCACAGAATCCACTGCAGAGCCCGACAGATATTAATCCACACTTGCCTTCTTGCCCGCTTTCTTTGGTTAGATTTGGAGAGCACGCTTTTAGCGCTATGAGCGTGTTCCGTCCTTGTTCAACTTTCGGTAAGTAATAAAGATAGATGACGCTGTTAGCGCTGACAGCGTCTCCCCAAATCCAATCTTTGTTGGCTGCGGTCGGGAAGACGCTAGAAATGCTTCGAAGTTTGATTGACCAATCAGGACAAAAAGAGTAAAGATTTCTTTATTCTGATTGGTTAATGCAATGCTTCGAAGTATCTCTAGCGTCTTCCCGACCGCAGCCGTTATATTGCCATGTTCTTGGAGTAATAGCGCGCTAATATTTAAATAATGAGAAAGGAAAAGGCAATTAAAATTATTTTCATATTATATAAGTAATCGCATTCATAATTTCTTAAATAAATATTGCAAATTTGTAAATATAACATTAAAGTAACGCAAATAATCATATAAAAAAAGTGAAAAATGAAATTAATATTAAATGTATCTTGTATTATATAATATGTGTTATATAATGTATTATTTTTGTATTTATAATAAACAGGTAACATTTATAATTTTTATTTTATTTATAAGCAAATTGATGTAAATTTTGATTATTTAAGATTGAAGGATGTAGTGTGTATAATATGTCAAATTACAATATAAATTCTTGATCAATGATTCCAATTATATATATCAGTCTTTTTTATTAACAAGATTTAAATTTATGACTATATGTTCGATAAACATAACATCGTTTTTTTTTTTTTTTTTTTTTTTAATGTCAGCTGCCTGTATGCAGCTATTTGATACACCACATCAGTGCCTTCAGTTACGAAGCTATTCAGCATAAAACTTCCAACTAGTGTTTTTCCAACTATGTTTGTTGCAAAATTGTGGGGTGATGTGTGGTTTCTGATTTCGTATAAAGTCAGGACTGACAGTCGGCAGATCCCAGATCCCAGGTTCGAATCATTCGATCCTCATCCCCTATATGCCTCTGTGGCGTATCGTAATGCCAATAAAAAATTTGTTATCAAAAGAAAAATTAATAAAAAATCAAGCGATGCTGCAATAATTATAAATTGACCAAATAATTATGTGAATATCTCGAAATTGATATTCGTGTTAGTAGAGAAAGACGCATGCGTAAACCGCCTGTTTTGTAACAGTATACAGTATACGTGGTTGGGTGCCCGGTCATCAGCCATACAGTAATACCGCAACAATAACACGTTGAAAAAAGGTTTTTCGGTCTCACTTCCTAAGTCTATCATGACAAGGTCAACGAATTTGCCGAGCGAGAACACACAATTAGTTTAAACGCAATTCGACGATCATGGAGCAGCTAATTATCCTAATATCGATGGTGTATCAATTATATTGTCCGTTCACAAAAGTTGAGGAAAGTTTCAATCTGCAGGCTATGCATGATATCCTCTGTCACGGCTTCAATCTGACGGAGGTAATGATTAAAATATTAAATAATATCGTTGTCTATCGAATCGAGAACTCGAGTTATTCGGCAATCATTGTCCGTTTCGCTCGACTGATTGCGATCGCGAGCAAACGTAAAACGTGCAGTTATATTTATAGCATCGGACACGTGTATTTTTAAACGCACGATCAGCTGATGCCGCTCCGAATCTTTCAAGATGATATGATAGACATAAATAGACTATTTTCCAATGGTCACTTTTTTTATATGCGTCGTTACTATTATTATCTGGCAACAATGAAGGAGAGAAAGAGAGATCTATATAATTTTCAGATTGTTCCATATAATTATCTATTTAACATTACAAGAATTTGTTCGCAAATTAATATATTGTGTTTTTATGTTCGATAGTATGATCATCACGAATTTCCTGGAGTGGTACCACGTTCTTTTCTGGGGCCTATTGTAGTATCCGGTCTTGCCTCGCCACTAATAGCATGCATTAATTACCTAAAGCTCAATAAAGTTATTGCTCAATATGCAGGTAAGTAGTGTGTAATTTTAGAATATGTAATAACAATTTTTCACATTTTTATATAATATAAAGATGATGAACACCTTTCAGTAAGAGCAACATTGGGATTATTGGTGATAGGTACATTCAAATTATATAGGCACGCTTTACAGAATATCTTTGGGCTGCAGTTTACAAAATGGTTTATTGCCATAACTGTAACGCAGTATCATTTTATGTACTATCTCAGTCGCCCACTGCCAAACATAATGGCTATGCCTTTAGGTAATAAAATAAAACTTTGTTAATTAGAGTTTGTATTTATGCATTATGTTAAAACTGCAATTTATTAAGTTGCACATATAATAACATACCATATATATTTCTCTTTTTAATTGCAAATGGATCTGACATTATAGTGTTACTAGCCTTATTTGGATGGCTAAGGCAAAATTATTTGATATTTATCTGGTCATCAGCTGCAGCAATAATAATATTCAGAGCAGAACTCGCCATACTGTTGGGATTGTTCCTATTATTTGATATAGCTAGCAAGAAACTTTCTGTACAAAGGTATTTACATATTATATCAGATGCCTAATATAGCTATTAAATTACAAATAGAAGCAATTAAAACCATAAAGGAACTTTCTGCAAAACAGCATAGATTGTAAACCTTTTATTATACATATTAAATACATAAACCATCCCCAATCTTATTAAGATATAAGTTTAATAGCTTTGATTACAATTGATTAAAACTTTATATGATTAGAGAAATATTTTATTTTTTATATACGTAATGTGCATAATGATCTTTCCAAAATTATTTTGTTTATTACACAATGTTTTATAATAATTTTTAGACTGTTTAAAATCGCAGTTCCAGCTGGTATATCGTTCTTAGCACTTACTGTTGCTATAGATTCAACATTCTGGGGACGCTTAGTATGGCCAGAAGGCGAAGTATTTTATTTCAACACTATTCTTAATAAGAGCAGTGAATGGGGTGTATCCTTTTCAGATATAATAATAATAAGCTTTTTTTAAAGATCTATCTTAAATGGTTATTTTGTTCATACTATTTTGATCATTGTTTTGAATGTTGGAAAAAATTATTTTTGATCTATTGCATTACAACATGAATTATAAAATAAGAATGTTCAAGACATCATAAATTTATTTTAAATAGATATTTTTTACCGTTTAAAATATTTAAATTACAAATAGAAGCAATTAAAACCATAAAGGAACTTTCTGCAAAACAGCATAGATTGTAAACCTTTTATTATACATATTAAATACATAAACCATCCCCAATCTTATTAAGATATAAGTTTAATAGCTTTGATTACAATTGATTAAAACTTTATATGATTAGAGAAATATTTTATTTTTTATATACGTAATGTGCATAATGATCTTTCCAAAATTATTTTGTTTATTACACAATGTTTTATAATAATTTTTAGACTGTTTAAAATCGCAGTTCCAGCTGGTATATCGTTCTTAGCACTTACTGTTGCTATAGATTCAACATTCTGGGGACGCTTAGTATGGCCAGAAGGCGAAGTATTTTATTTCAACACTATTCTTAATAAGAGCAGTGAATGGGGTGTATCCTTTTCAGATATAATAATAATAAGCTTTTTTTAAAGATCTATCTTAAATGGTTATTTTGTTCATACTATTTTGATCATTGTTTTGAATGTTGGAAAAAATTATTTTTGATCTATTGCATTACAACATGAATTATAAAATAAGAATGTTCAAGACATCATAAATTTATTTTAAATAGATATTTTTTACCGTTTAAAATATTGGAAATTTTTGAACAAGCAGTTTCGGAACATAAATAAACTTAACTGATGAATAGACATCACCATTTTTGTGGTACTTTTATTCAGCGTTGCCGAGGGGTCTAGCACTTTCATACTTTCTAGTTCCTGTGGGGATGTTTTGGGATGCTAGAGTTCGTACGTTTACCGTCCCAGCTATTGTATTCGTCGCAATATTGTCATTTCTACCACATAAGGAACTGAGATTTATCATATATGTGTTTCCGTTACTAAATGTTGGTGCAGCTGTTGCTTGCCATAGAATGTAAGTATATATTCCGCCTTAAAATTACATTTAGTTAATTTTCCATCTCAGTTCTATCAGTTTGTCAAAACTAAAATATCAGTATTTATAAAATCCTAATGATAGCTTAATCTATAATCTAGCTGATTAAACTTAAAACTACAAATTCTTGTAGCTGCATATAATATAAAAACTGTTTCTTGTTGGTAATTAGATGGGAAAACAGAGCAAAAACAAAGTGGAATGGTTTTTTAGCACTGGTAATCCTGAGTCATGTTGCATTAAATATTGTATTCTCCACATTTCTGCTATATGTGGCTAATTTTAATTATCCTGGAGGTGTGGCAATTACTAGATTACATAGACTCGAGAAAAACTCGATTGAGCCAGTGCATGTACATATCGATGTATTCACTGCGCAAACCGGAGTATCAAGATTTACACAGACTAACGCTTCTTGGATGTAAGTTATGTTTACAATAATTTTATCCTCATTACGGTATCTTTTAATGGAAAAAACTATAATTATATTACAGATATTCGAAACAAGAGAATTTGACTGTCGATGATCCTGAAATGCTACAATTCACTCATCTCTTGATGGAAGCAAAAAGCAAATATTCTCCAAAAATAAAATCTTATCTTAAAACCCATAATATTATTGATTCTATCGATGCATTCTCGCATATAGCATTTAATTATAACATGATACCGCCTATTAGAGTTAAAACAAAACCTAGTATATTTATTATGAAAAGAAAATCGAATATCACATACGATCTTCATAAAGCAAAATCTTCGATTTCTATAAAGAATTCTTCAAAACAAATAGATAATATAGAAAATGTAGAATTTAACATGTCACATGAAGACAATGAAGTAAAGACAATGGAACCGATAGTTCATAATATTGTGGAGTCATTAGAAGAATTTGGAAAGTCAGAAGAAACTGATAAACAAAATTTATCGAAAGATATAGAAGAGATTAAAGAAATGATTAATAATACCGAAGAAAAAATCGGAATGATTAACAATCTAATAGAAGATAATGTGACATCTATGGAAAATATTACTACATGGAAAATTGAAGATACAAATAAATTATCACCAAATTCAAAAGATAAAAAAGAAAAAAATTTGGATTCTCAGGAAAATTTCGAAAGTGTTCCTAATATCTATGATACCAAACTTGACGAAAAAATAAAAACGGATATTGAAGAGGAAAAAATTATTAAAGAAAAACCTAAAAACGATTTAAATCTGCAACAAGAAACTCAGGGTACTAAAAAAACGGTTAAAAAAATTATCCAGGAAAAGATAAGAGAAGACAACCAAAAAAGAGAAACAAATGATAAACGAAAAAATACAGAGCTTCCAATAAAAGTGAAAAAAGGAGCTATAGCAGCAGAATGGCCAAAAAGAACGAAAATGTTACAATCCAATTTACAAGAAGCAAAGGATTTTAAAATCTTTACATATAAATCGCCATTAACAATTCAAGATCAAATTAAGATTGCAAAAGAACATGCAAAAGATGATGATAAACAGAAATTTATTAAAGCAAAAGACACTACACAGAAGACAGATAAAATCAAGATAATAAAACCAGTTAATCGAGAGCAAATCGCGGAAAACGAAGATCTAAGTAAAGAAAAAATTGTAGATGTAACAATAAAGAAAATTACAACAACACATGATAGTGTTGACACAAAATTACCTGTAACTGAGGGACAAATCGTAAAGAAAGAGGGTAAAAAAGACTTTAAACCATCAAAACCAATAAATGTAAGAGAAAGTATAAAAAATATAATAAATCAATTTAAAGAATTTGAAAAAGATTTTATATATGATAATATTGATTCAATGACATCAATGAATGATATAAGCCATGCAAATCGTATTGAGAGCGATCTACGCATAACAGAAATGGACAATAGTATTACAGATCATTCTGTGAAAAGTGAGACTCAAGTTGTGATAAAAGATGCTAGAGAAAGTTTCAAAGAAATATTAGATCAATTTAAGCATATCAAGGATGAATTAACTTTAGAGGAGGATGATCAATTTGATGAAATTGCAGCAAAATATATGGAACAGCCAATTGCTCAAACTTTATTACAGTTTAGTGAAGCTCTAAAAGGTTTAATGCAGCATAGAAAAAAGACTTTGCCCGAACATACGACCGACTTGTATGATAACCAAAATGTAAACATATCAGATATCAGAAGATGATTATATATCAGAACATCAAAGAAAACTTACGGTAGAAAAAATCATTCAAGCAGCAACAAAAGATTATGCGAAGAAGACAAAAATGGAAAATGATTATAAGACTGTTAAAAAGTCAAGAGCTGTATAAATAAAACGAAAAGCATGGAAAAACCAGATACGTTAGTGCAATTATAAATAGTCTAAAACAAGATGCTATTATGGTTTCTAATACAAAACAAGTACCTCTATATATTAAAAGTTTTAAAAATCGTATTAAAAATGTCTTTTTGCTTCTCGTAGTATCAATCTTATTTACATTATTTTAAATATATAAATTTCAAATAATGTCAATAAAAGATTGATACTATGAGAGGTACAGAAAATTTGTACAGAAAAATACTAAAAAGTAATAAAATAGTCAAGACAATTAAATATTGTTTCGTAAGTAACTTCATCAAGTGTTACTAGTGAAACAACTGTATACTTATAACTATGTAAATATGTTTCCCTGTGATATCAAAAATGTTGTATTTTTTAATGTGTGCTTACATATTACCAATATAGGAAGTATAAAATTTATTTTTCCTATGTGAGATATTTATATAATGAATTGCGAAAATGGTTTGGTGGAAAAGTACTATATAATTTTTCATATTACAGATGTATAATTAAATTTTTACTTTGCATAAAATTGTACAAATATACAAAAAAAAAAATGTATTAATTTATACATAGTAATCAAAAGAGAGATACAAATATTTTATATAGCTATTTTATAACTTCATTATTATTTTCTCTTCTTTCATCATATTTTCATTACATATATTTTTAAGTGTAATAATAGATATTTTATTTGTTCATTAACTGTAAACATTAAGTTGGTATGTGAGTTATATTATTATCAGATTTTTGCATTTAGATATTGCTTATATAAAATTTCTCGCGTTCCTCTAGCTATATTGTATCATGCTTGTATTTGTATGTAGCGAATCAGATATTAAATCATAAATGTAAATAAGTTATATAAGTTATCTGCCATATGTAATATATCATGCAATATTTACAGATGGATATTTAATTTTCATATTGGTATCTATAGAGCAATCAAGTGCCTTATTAAATCTCTTCCAATATTCGGAGTGGCGTTAAAAACATAAATGTACACATATGCATGAATATAATAACTGTATGTGTGCTTAATAATTATACCATGTATTAGTGTTTTATAAATTGAAATTGTTCAATATATTATAAAGAGAGTTTACAAATTAATTCCCAGAACACTTCTATTAAAATCTAGATATTTATTTTAGGCGACATGCGCGATTAGAAAAAGAATATTATTACAATATAATATATGTAAGATCAAAATTTTCTGAACATCTCTCTGATTCCGTAAATCGATGCGATAGTGTTACATAAAAGCAAAGCTAGTGTAAAGTTAAACAATATTTTATCGCGTGTGCCGCTCTTTAAATAGACAGGAAGTCCATCGTCGCACTGCCAAAATAAATAATATGTGTTAATATAAAAATTTTTTTTATGCGGTTGTTATAAATCAAATGTTTAAAATTGCTTCAGATTATATATACCTGCATTCTAGCTTGCTTCAATTTAAAGTTCTGAAACGTTTTGCTATTGTCCTCATAGAAGAAACGTGTTTGGTTTGTGTTGAATGATCTTTGTAATAATGGAATATCGCAAAAACGTATCTAAATTGGATATATAAATCCTTTAACTTCTTATAATTTAATATCTTTTGTCACTTATATTTATTGAGTTGGTGCAAAAGAGATGGTGCTACATTTTCTCTATATATTATGTTTTTGATTTTATAAATAATATTTCAAATGTTTTTACAAAAAGTTTAAAAAAAAAAGAAAAATTACTCTTTGAAAAACTGTGTAAAATTTGTAAACTTCTCTATTTAACGAATATGCGACACATATTTTGCACTAATTTATATAAATATAAATATAGTTTATAATATAACATATATAAGATTTTTAAGATTTACATTTCTCTGAACACAAAGTTTTTAAAATGTTTTAAAACATTTATAATTTTTGATCAAATCATATGACTTGTACTGAACCAATTAATATTCAATGTGCGCGTTATATCGTATCAAAAATAATTTAATTTTCAAATTATTTGTTATACGTTACCTTTTGTACATTTCTTAGGAGCAACATATTTGAAACTCTTGATATAATAACTCCGTCCATCACATCACGATCGTTACTGAAAAATAAAATAAACAATCTTATTGTTTTACCGGTTGCTAAGAAACCAGATATACGTTCAAAAATGTAATTGCAATATTTTGTATCTGTTATTGATATAAACCTTAGCTTGCCATAATATTACAAGGAAGGACGCATTCTAAAATTTTTCACGAAAGAATTCAAATCAAAGTGGCAAATACAGCGCAAATTTCCAAGCCTCCACACATTCATACTGATATAACTTTTGACGCGTAAAAGGTTTATCTGATTGGATATCGGCTAGAGAATTTCTAGGATTTCGAAAGTTTTTTGCAACTGCAGCCAATCAGTACATCTGACGAATCTTGTCGAATGATAAATGTAATACGCCCTAAGGCGCCGACGACGTGTACGAAATGCGCATGCACTTCCTGAACAACAGTAGTAGGGAAGGGAGGTTTCAAGAATGGCCGCTCGACGCGCATGCGTACTCGCCGCGCGACGCAACAGTCATAAACAAGACTGCGTTCTGGTTGACGCTCCTCGCGTCTAATTATTGCGCCTACAGGGTTGACGGGGGTGTCTCGTGGGGGACGCAATTTCGCGATTTCGCCGCGTATTTGTTTACACGAAGCAGGATGCTTCTGACGCCGCGGCATGGCATGTCGTGATACATAAATTCAGGACACGTACTGGCATGCGGTGACGTCATCCAGATTGTTCTAGAAGAACTTCCGCGAAACAAAAATGGCGGGTGCGTAATCCATTTACACGTCGGCATTGACGGTGCCACGCGTCACACCTCTCGATTATCACCCCTTATCTTTTGATTTCTTTACATTTCAGATCTATACGCTAAGTACAACTGCACCTATTGCCAAGAGGACATTGCGGGCCTACGTGTTAAGTGCATCGAATGTCCCGAATTCGACCTTTGCTTGCAGGTGGGTCGTACATTCGAACCCTCATTCTGGATCACGTGGTATCCTCTTTCTCCCTCTGTCATCACTCGTTTCTCTTCTCGTGTTTTTTTTCTCTTTTTTTTTTTCTTTCATTTATTCCGCATTCATAACTTTTTCATATTTCTCGTGAATGATATTTTTAATTTTATCATGTTTTATACATTTTTTCTTTTATTTATTTTTTTTTTGTGTATTTTATCATCACGTTTCCCTTCCTACACCTTCCATTCTATCGCGAATCCGTGAATGAAGCTATTAATTGATGAAATGCATGTGGGTGTGTTGGTGGATATTTTGAATTGTGGCGCCAATAGAATTTTGATTATTATAATTTTAATATCCAGAAATAATATGTACACAAATGTTTTATCTGTGATTGTTCAATCGACAGTTAGTTTTGAGATTACTTACAATTCTGTAAATTACTTGTATTTTGTATTTTATATTTGTTTGTCTAAAACTATTTTAAAATTTAAAAACTTATTTTTATAAATAATAGAAATATATGGATAAAAAAAAATATATATATCAACTATGTATATTGTTTATAGTGTTTTTCTGCTGGTGCTGAAATTGGTCAACACAAAAATAATCATGCCTATCAGTTTATGGTAAGCAGTTTTGAAGAAAATTTTTTTTTATATTGCGCTATAGAAGTACCAGAATTTACTTGTGTGTATATTGATGTAGGACTCTGGTACGATTAGTATATTTAATGGACGTGGTAATTGGACAGCTAGAGAGGAACTTAGGCTTCTGGATGCTATTGAACAATTTGGATTTGGAAATTGGGAAGATATCAGTACACATATCGAAACACGCACACCAGAAGGTAATTTAATTGACTTATTTTCTGAACATCACATGAAGAATTTGATACAGAGTCAATTTTTGTAAACATAACCATTTTTTAAAAGAGACATTTTGTTTTTACAGAGGCAAAGGAAGAATACATTGCTAGATATCTCAATGGTAACATCGGAAAGCATACATGGCCACCTACAGAGAGCTATGTACCAAATCTTACGGATCAAACTAAGTCTGATCATGGTCCACTGTCGCCCGATCTTACATCCAAATTACCACCATTGGATATCACTCCGGAAGAAGCCACGCAATTGGGTTACATGCCCCAACGAGATGATTTTGAGAGGGTAATAATCAATCTTAAGGTTTGATCAATTTTTACTTGAAAAAAGTTTTGATTTGATAATCATCATTATTATGATACTTCTTCCAGGATTATAACCATGAGGCCGAATCTCTCGTTTCATCGTTATTCCTGAATCCTGCCGAGGACGATGATCTTGACATTGCACTTAAATTAGCGCAAGTTGATATGTACACCAATAATTTGAGAGAGCGAGCAAGGCGAAAACGCGTCGTAAGAGATTATCAACTTGTGTCGGCTTTCTTTGCATCATCCAGAAAAGACAAAGGAATAAAAAAGAAACATACAAAAGAAGAAAAGTACGGTTCATATAAATGTACTTTTTTCTTTACGTTTCTCTTGAAATATTTTGAAAAAATAATTACTCTTTTTTGCTCGCTCAAAACGTATTAAGTAATTCGTTTATTCGATGCAGAGAATTTAGGGACAGAATGCGTGTATTCGCACAGTTTTACACAGCACAAGAGCACGAACAGTTCCTAACAAATCTCGAGAGGGA